ATATCAAAATTCACCATACTGAAATTTAAAATGAAAAAAAAGAGTGGTTGCTCAAGTTTTTTGCTATAAGATTTTTTTTTTCGGAAACCAGAAAGCTCTTTTGTGTTTATTTACCGTTCATCACTAAACCTTAAATCTCCAGAACATGTTGTAAAAATAAAAAAAACTATTTTTTGTACAATATCTTTTGTTTTGTCTTACGTGCAGATTAGTAAACTCGATAATTTCAGTCTCCGATATTCCTTCTAATGGAATATCGAAATTTACCACTCTGAAACTTAAAATTAAAAAAAAAGAGCGGTTGCTCAAGTCTTTCGTTTTAAGAGTTCTTTTTGTAGAAGCCAGAATGCTCTTTTGTGTTTACTAACTGTTCACTAAACCTTAAATCTCCAGAACATGTTGAAAAAATAAAACAGTTTATTTTTTATCCAACATATTTTGCTTTGTCTTGCAAGCAAATTAGTAAACTCAATAATTATAAAAAAAATATTTAAAAAATATTATTAGATATAGCTGTTGCTTATGGGTATTTTTTACAAATAAAGTATTTTACTTTAATATTTTAGCAACCGGTCTTTTTAATTAATCTAAAAAAATACCTTTTCAGTCAAAATGTTTAAAAATGTGGATGTTTGTTTTCAATTAGGGTTTACACAGTAGATGTTCCCCTTACCAATAGATCCAGGAGTTCCCTTGTCTTCTGGATTCAGTTCGAAATTATAAGGATAAGGAGGTGAACATTAGTAGTCGTAAGCCCAAAAATTGGGTCAGCTGTTCAATAACGTTTATAAAATAAAATGAAATATTATAATGGGATTCGAAATAGACACTACTTTACTGGGATACGTTATGCTTTGTATTACTTTGGCATAATACGGATAATGTAAATTTATATTTACTAGAATGAAAAAAAAAATATTCTTCTGATTTCTTTATTCAAATTTTGATTTATAAAAGCATTTAAGAACATATCATAAAATTTCAGTATCGGTAATATTTTAATAAAAACAACCGTTATTAAGTATGAAGTCAATGTTTTTATTAGATTTAATCGAAAAAATTCACCGTTTATGGATTAAAATAAAACTGAAATAAAAATGATGAATCTCTTTTTCGTTTAAAAGGGAAATTTTCTTTATAAAAATAACCAAAACAATACTGTCTTTTTCTGCAAGAAACGTAAAGCTTTATATTTTTAGTTAAATTTAATTCGCCTTAATGAATAATGCGTCTTTTTATTAGTTTCGATTATCAAAAGTTATAAAAAAATAATCCAGCTTTTATATTACAATGTTAAAAATAAGAACAACTAAAACAGTGTTTTTAGTATTTCAAGGTAATGCTATCCATGTAAGAAAAAATATCAGTATATTTTTAGATTCAAATGCAAATATGCGAATATTCTGAAAAAAAATAGAGTCCGAAAACTCAAAATGTGTTTCATATGAATTGTGTTTGTTATTCGATATTTCTTTTTTTTTTCTATCCGAAATAAACTTTTATGAATGCATGAATAAAACATTTGTTTACTTGCTTACAAACATAGACTGTCGACAGCAAAACATATTTGAGAAATAAAAAATAAACTGCTTAAAAGTATACACATAAATATGTCTCATCTCGGGAGCTTCTGAGTTTTCATCGTACACATAAGTATGTAGAGAAAAAATATTTAACATATGCAAAGAGTATAAACGTCTTATATTGACTTCACCCGTTACATAATATCACGAACAAGTAAAGAGCATTTCAAATATACAACTAGTGACCTAGTGCAATATACATGACGACTGCTACCATTTTTACGATACATTTTTCTTGAATGTATAAAAGGGTAGTACATTTTACGATGCATCATTTCATTTTTGATTTATTAAATTTGATTTACAATGGTAGTAACATATATTAACATCATTTTAAAACGGTAGTAAATTTTACGATTTATCATTTCATTTTTGATTTATTAAATTTGATTTACAATGATAGTAACATATATTAGCATCATCATAAAACGGTACTAAATTTTGTGATTTATCATTTCATTTTTGATATATTAAATTTAATTTACAATGATAGTAACCTATAATAACATCATTATAAAACTTTAAATTTTATGATTTATCATTTCATTTCTGATTTATTAAATTTGATTTACAATTATAGTAACGTATATTAACATCATTATAAAAAGGTAGTAAATTTTGCGATTTATCATTTCATTTTCGATATATTAAATTTGATTTACAATGATAGTAACATAGATTAACATCATTATAAAACGGTAGTAAATTTTACGATTTATCATTTCATTTTTGATTTATTAAATTTGATCTACAATGATAGTAACATATATTAACATCATTATAAAACGGTAGTAAATTTTGCGATTTATCTTTTAATTTTTGATTTATTAAATTTTATTTACAATGATAGTAACGCATATTAACATCATTATAAAACATTAGTAAATTTTGTGATTTATCATTTCATTTTTGATTTATTAAATTTGATCTACAACGATAGTAACCTATATTAACATCATTATAAAACAATATATTTTATGACTTATCATTTCATTTTTGATTTATTAAATTTGATTTTCAGTGACAGTAACATAGATTAAAATCATTATAAGACGGTTGTAAATTTTACGATTTATCATTTCATTTTTGATTTATTAAATTTGATTTACAATGATAGTAACGCATATTAACATCATTATAAAACGGTAGTAAATTTTGTGATTTATCATTTCATTTTTGATTTATTAAATTTGATTTACAATGATAGTAACATAGATTAACATCATCATAAATCGGTAGTAAATTTTACGATTTATCATTTTTGATTTATTAAATTTGATTTAAAATGATAGTGACATATATTAACATCATTATATAACGATAGTAAATTTTACGATTTATAATTTCATTTTTGATTTATTAAATTTGATTTACAATAATAACATAGATTAAAATCATTATAAAACGGTAGAAAATTTTACGATTTATCATTTCATTTTTGATTTATTAAATTTGATTTACAAGGAAGGTAACATTTATTAATATTATTATATAAGCAATATGTGTATTAGAAAGGTACCTCCTGTAGGTCACTTCCATTATTTAAGCTGTTTCTTTAAAGTGGAATAAGTCAATTTAGAGTTAAAAAATTATGTAGTTACTTATTTAGTTTTCTATGTCATTTTAATAGTCATTATTTCCTTTTGATGCTTCATCAAATTATTAAATTGTACTGTTTAAAACATCATCTTGATTGACTATCCATTGTCAATATTTTTAAACTCCCAATCACTTTAAAACTGCAGCAAGTTTCATGATTTTTCATTTTCCTTTTGATTTATTAAAATTAATTTTCAATGATTAGTGACTTATATACACTTTGTCTCAACATTTTAAACAATATATGTATTGGTTAGGTACCTTCGTTGGATCACTTACCGTATTTTTGTTTCTTTAATGTGGAATAAGTTCATTCAGAGCTAAAAAGTAGTTTGTTTTGTTGTCTTTTAATGATTTTAATACTAATTGTTACAATTTAAGGTTTCATAAATTTATAGTGTTAGAAACATTACCTAAAATTATTGTGAACTGCTAATATTTTTAAACTATCTAGCACGTTAAAATGGTAAAAATTAATCATTTCATTTTTGATTTATTAAATTTGATTTTCAATTATTAGTAATATATACCAATATTATAAAAACAAATTAAACAATAACTGTATAGGAATGACACCTTTGTTGGGTCACTTACATTATTTGAGTCGTTTAAGCAAAGCAAGTCCATTTAGAAATAAATTTCGTTTATTTTTTTCTTTTCTCAATATTTTAATGATAATTGTTGCATTTTGATGTTTCATTACTAATCATGATGTTTCATTCATGATGTTTCATTACATTTTCTTACTAAATTTGATTCACAATGATTTGTCACATATATCAGCATCATGTAAATAATTTAAGCAATATTTATATTGGAAGGACTTCAATTACTTGAGCCTTTTTTTAAAGTTAATTCCGTTAATAGTTGTGTCAAAATTGATAGTTTATTTTGTTTTTTCTTTTATGATTTTAATGTTGTTGCATTTTCATATTTCACCAAAGTATTAACAATATTAAAGTATTAACAACTTCACCTAAATCAATTGATGATTGCCAATATTTTTGAATTCACTCAAACACTAATCACTAAAAGACTCAGAATTATAACACTTTCCTAAAAAAAACACGAAGAAAATTACGAAAAACAATAAGTTTCATTTATTACGCATAAGCTTCAAGTAAACAGAACTCATTACATAAGTTCAAAATGAAGATAAAACAAAAGAAAATTACAGAATTATTGAAATTATTGAATATCATTGAAGAAGAATTATTGAATTCACTCAGAAAATTATTGAATTCACTCAAACACTAATCACTAAAAGACTCAGAATCATAACACTTTCCTAAAAAAAACACGAAGAAAATTAAGAAAAACAATTAGTTTCATTTATTACGCATAAGCTTCAAGTAAACAGAACTCATTACATAAGTTCAAAATGAAGATAAAACAAAAGAAAATTACAGAATTATTGAAATTATTGAATATCATTGAAGAAGAATTATTGAATTCACTCAGAAAATTATTGAATTCACTCAAACACTAATCACTAAAAGACTCAGAATCATAACACTTTCCTAAAAAAAACACGAAGAAAATTAAGAAAAACAATTAGTTTCATTTATTACGCATAAGCTTCAAGTAAACAGAACTCATTACATAAGTTCAAAATGAAGATAAAACAAAAGAAAATTACAGA